ATGGAACTCAGGTTGTTTAGTAGCAAGTCCCTTTACCCACTGAGCCATCTTGCTGGCCCCATTTGGGGGGTCTCCCACTGGAGAGGTATCCAAACTGCCATGCCCAATGCCCCCATTCAGCTGTAAGAAGACAGAGCTGTTATCACCCAACTCCCTAATGGCAGTTAGGATTACCTCTTCAGATGGGAATAATGAAAACAGGAGACAGAAAGTGGCCAGGCAGGCAGTTTAGAATAAGCATTCTCTCTCTCTCTCTCTCTCTCTCTCTCTCTCTCTCTCTCTCTCTCACACACACACACACACACACACACACACACACAAAGTAACCAGCTTATTTGCTAAAAGCCAAAATGTTCTTGGGCTTCTTGGCATCTTCATGGTAGAGACCTAGCATTCCAGTAGTGCAGGTCAATCACCTGGACAAAGGCCCACCTATAAGGAAGGCAGATTCATAAACCAAGCTAAAGAGATGGGCAACGTAATTAGTCCCTTAATGATATTGTACTTTTCCTTCCCAGAATCCCCACCGCTAGTGCAGTAGCTTACCAGGCCAGAGATACATAGCTTCCTGTCTGTTTGCTTTTCTAAACTCTTCAGAAAAGTGTGACCCCTCTTTTTCTTCTCTTTTTGTAAGCAATGCTTTTCCTAACACTGTGGGCTTCCCCAATATTTTGGTCTTACTCTTTCCCTAAAGCTCCCCTTTCTCTCACGTGGCTGCTAGTCTTAAAACAGCAGGGCTTTTATTTTCATTCTCTCTCCACTCTCTCAGGCAGCTACTGAGATTCACAGCTTGCCTATCTTAGGTTTCTTCGGGTTTTTGTTTTTTTGGTCTTTTTAAGACAGGGTCTCCTCATAGCCCCATGTAGCCCCAACTGGCCTGAAACTTCTTATGTAAACCAGGCTGGCCTGCTCAAATAAGATCCGCCTGCCTCTGCCTCCAATGTGCTGAGTTTAAAGGTATGGGCCACTGACCTGACCACGGGGTTTTCTTTTAAAAATTGTCCTTAATCTTAAAAAAAAAAAAAGAAAAAAAAAAAAAAAAACTTTTTTTTTCATATTAATACAAAAATTTAAAAAACTACAAAAATCGTTTCACAGCTTAGAATTCAAGGGGGAAAAACATAAAAAAAAAAAACAACACACAATATCCCAAAA